AATTCTGAAACCGAACAGAATTAATAGAATTAGTATTTGTAGATACTAAATTGTTATATAAATGTACAAGGAATAAGGAATTTGAAACTTTGAGCTTCGAAGCTGTATAGATTTAAGTATTCAACAAAATGTATTTTAAGCCCAATTACCCATTTTTTGTACTTTTATATCCTTAGCTCATGGTTCAATTTAAAGGCCTAAGCTTCAGTGGGTACAATATAGTATCTTTTTTAAGACTTGCTGTTATATCCTAATCATCTTTATTGTTTCTTGAGTATTCTCATATATTCTATAGATTGTATATTAAGTTATAGACTCCATCTAAAACCCTCTCAGCCTGCTCAGGAAGTTATTTCTCAATGGACACAGGAAGACTATAATTTTTTGTTGGAAGGCCCGGGACCATGCAAATTTGGTCAAACAAGAGGCACTCAGATTTTTAAAGAGCATGTCACAAGCATATCATTTTCAAATTTTATATTCAAAATCAAAGGCCTTGCCTAATTCTATTATTCTCTGTAAATCTGGAAAATAAGAACAAATAGAGAAGTAAATGAGAAAGTTGAAGTTATACAGATTACACGTGCATTTTGGTTACCTTAGGATGATGCTGTGTGAGACACATCATCTTGCCTGAAAAATGTCATGTGATGCTTTTCGGGCTATTGCATTAGCGTCCATTTTTAAGTGCCCTTTCTTACATTACAATTCAAAAAAGTCTGATGAAAGTGGACTCGACACTATCTAGATTAGCTTGAGAAAAATATTGGGATGAAAACTTCATACAAGGAGAAAACATTTAAAGATTGAGAAGTATAAGGGATGTTAGGACTTAAAAGGCCAAATAAAAATCTGGTCAAATTAAATAAATGGGATTCAAGTCTTAGAGAGATCAAATCGGATATGGTCGATTAACATTTCAGAGAAGAAGAAATACTTATTGACTTTCGGTTGTTTAAGTTGGGTTTATGTTTGCCTGATAGAGTGTAGTTTGAGACATTGCTCATTAAGTGTACTAGAAGTGCTTGTGGATACTGCGAAGGGAAGGAGGTGCAATGGAGATTTTTTTTTTTTTCCGATTTGGTTTCAAGCAAGGGAAGGAGCTGGACCACCAGAGTCTTTCTCCTTAGCAATGGTCTAACTATGCACTCAAAAATATAATTAATATCTTGAGTTTATTTCATTGGGATTGGTCGTTATAAGGTTCTATAGAGTGCCAAATATCAAGTACGTAATCTTTCACGGTTCATTTACTCAAAGAATTTCAAATGATATCTGTGTTGGCATTATTAGGCATCCATTTGGTTTCCTTTTTATCTTGCACTCTTCTTTTATATATGAATATATGTGATAGGGTTGGCCTGGCCCCTACCACACCTTTGGGTGGCTCTGTTTCGGGTCACAAAATAATGAGTAGAAATGCTATGCATTTTTGAGGTCTCTTCTCAAATAAATTTATAACTTTGTATTGATAATTAAGAATGCTCAAAGACTGCACCACATTTAGATTATATATAATAGAACAATTTGCTCTGATAATAACAATGATTGAAGTTTTACAATTTAGGATTTGTTGGGAAAAATAGAAATTTGAAAAGATACAATGAATAAAATAAATGAAAATAGTTGATGGAGGAGTTAAAATTCACGAATTTCAATATTGAACTTTAAGTCTATTAAACGGATATCCATTCATAATTCCATACCAACAAAATCATGTCATAACTTTATAAGAGTGTTCTAAAATAGGCTATGAAAAAGGTTATCGTAACTCTAGAAAAAATAAGCACAATCTAAATTCCAAATTCTATAATGGGAAAATCAGAAATATAACCAAAAGGGTTTGAAAAATAAATTAAAATGGCAATGATGCGAAAACTTCACCAATAGTTTAAAAGACTGCCCCACATTTAGTTTATACTATTAATACTGCATACAATAGTTTAATGATCAATTTATTAATTGATTAGTAGTTTACTAATCAATTTATAATGGGATTTATTTTTATTTCCTTTACCTTGTGGTATGATTGAAAATGTTGAACATTGTCAATTAACTTAATTAAATGCAGTGCAATTTTTTCTTTCCTTTTTTGCTATGATTTGAGAGCGTTAAGATGATTAGGAGTGAACAAATTGTAGTTTTTACTAGAATGAAATAGAGAGCTTGAATGCTTGATGAAATATGGATAAGTTTGGTCCTCATGGGCAAGGACATGCATCTTCTTTTTCATTCGAGTTTATTTTGTGTTACATCATCTCATTTTATAATAGAGTACCTGTTTTGTATTGTTATTAATGAGTTTCGTTGGTATATATCTTATGTCCTACCTGTTTTCTTTCTATGTCCTACTCCTGAGATCTATGTATTTACCTCTTCATAATATGTTTAATATTTTTTTTAATGACAGTGTGCTAATACTTCAACCAGTATCTTGGAATCTTCTAATGAAGGTTGCATAGGTGCAGCCAATGAATTGCTTATCTTCACAAGCCTGAATCTAAAGTCATATTTTGTGATTTCAAATCGTCAGACATTTTGATTGATATGGTACATGCAACACCTTGACTTTTGAGTTCCAATGTTTCTTGTGATGATTCTCTAAGCGAGAAAATATTGTGCTTTGAAACGACAGGATTACAATGCAATGTTGTCTGATTTTGGGTTACTGAAGGATGGCCAGTTGATGGAAAGAGTCATGTCTCCATGAGAGTGATGCGTACATATGACTATGCAGCCATATATAAAAGGACAGGTAAAAGGAAACTTCTCATTGCTTATTATTCATGGATTGAAATCAGATAAGTCATTGTGAAACATGTTAGGAGCTGGATTGTCACATAGCACTATATAAATCCAATAAAAATGTGAAGCAAAAATCAAGTGTTTGTTTTGCAAGAGTCGAATTTTGCTCTGTATCTAAATTTGTTAAGTTTCTGAAAACTAATGTTGATTTAAAAAACACATGTTTCATTAATAATAATAATAAAACAAGTACAATAGGAGGGGAACATATCCCACGTAAGGCCAACCTGAACAAGACACCCATAGGAAATTGATGCCAAATTGACTGGATTATCTTTTAAATTTTTTAAAATGTTCTAACCCTAAAACTGTTTTAAAATATTAAACAAAATAGTACAGAGTATCCATAAATAAGTGCAAGTGTCATATAGTAAGATACTACGGGTCATGGATCTGCACATAGCCGGATCCATGATATGGAAGATGTTAGACGCCATCATCGTTTCGAATGATCCTATAGTAATTTCACAACGTAAGTTGCATCTTCAAGCAAAAATAAACACAAAATGATCTTAATACTTCTCTTTCTAGGCTAACTTTTAAAAATACAATCATGGCCTAAAGTGAAAAAATGTCCATAATTCTTTTCTTCATTGAATAAGTTTTTGAAAGAATTTAATGGCAAAAGGCCGGTAGAAATTGCAATACGTTCATGTCTCTTTACTCTTTCGACTATGATATTTTAAAATGCACTAATGCCCAAGAAAATACTCTGTAATAAACTTCTTTTTCATTTTTCTATTTCCTTTTCTTCTTGTGCTATTTTTTTTGAAGCAATCTTGTGCTATACTTTTGAGCCACAATCATTGCCAAAGAGAATTTTTTTTCCTCTACTCTTTCACTTCATAGGCTAAATTTTTTGGGACATTGATAGCAAGAAGAGAAAAATGCACTTTTTTGTTCAATTATTTTCTTAACTCCTACTAAGACTCACTTTGAACCTAGAAATGGTAAGACGAAAAATGATAACTTTTTTTCTTCTCTTCCTGGCCTACAGCCTTAGAACAAACATTGGGCTATTTTAGGGATCAAAGGTCTAAGAAATTGGATATCTTATGACTATGATTTTGGGAATGCTGAGTAGTAAAAATGCAGTTTTTAGTGTAACACATACTACATACAGATGATGCGCGAAACACGGATATAAAATAATAGTGCAACACATACTACATTTTTTTGAAGCTAAGAATTTACTCATCAGGAGATTGTTTGCCTTAGATCTTCTATCCTTGGGGCGGCTTGGGCTAAGACTTCAAACGATAAGTGTAGCCGCAAAATGATGTAGCAGCTTATGACTGCAATTGATAATATCATGTAATTATAATGTCCATAAATAAATTAGATTCCAACATGTCTTCAAATAGTATTATTTCACTTCATAAAAAATACTCTTTGGAACTCTCGTGATAATTGATGAAGTAATTTTTAAATGGTTTAAGAAAAGTTTTGAGCACACAAAATCTTTAAACCCATCGTAAAAGCAATCCTAAAACCTCAACAGTCTAACTAATTGCCCACATTCTACCCTATGTCCCTAACTTCCATTTAAATTCAACCAATCTAAACATTAAAGTTTACTTTAACTACTTTAACTACATTTGATGTCACATGATGTGATTGGGTGTTTTGTATTTCATCGGGTACTGCTTATTTTTTTATTCACCCAATTTTAAAAATGGGCATTTTTTTATCTGCTCCACAGTCAGACATTTAATTAAATATATTACATCGTCTTATAGGACACGCGCATATAAGCTATATTGTCGAGCATGCTTGTGTATCTAATCCGAAGGACAAAAGTCAAGAGAACGGTCCGTATTGAATTATCCAATTTGAGGTTAAGGTTAATAGTACTAATCTTATTAGGAGAACACAAAGATCATTGAGCGTGATCTTTCACTAAAGAAAAAATCTCCAAGGGATTTGTATCTTAAGATGCTTATTGCATGTAATAAACCAAGGCTGCTTTGTGCTAATATAAAAAAGATACCACTTAACTCAATTAAATTTGTGATCACTATATGAATTTAAATTATATCTTGTTTATCCATATACACACAATATATTATTTTTAATTTAGACATAAATACCCATGATTGTGTATGTGTTTTGAAAAGGAAGCCCTTTGATTTGGATGCATAGATATAGCATATGATTTAAATTATTGCAGGCCACTATGTCGAAAAACATTTTTGTAAAGCTTTATGTGATTTTAGGCCCTGTTATTTAAAAAGCAAATTGAGAAGTAATTTATCTCTTTAGTTCTTATCTATTTCATTGGTTCTTATCATGTCAAGCATGACATATACTGTCACACCCCTCTCCCCTTTTCCGGGGTATACTCATGTGGTTCTTTTGTTGGCTGCTTTTATAGTTCATGTTTGTTCAAATTATTCTAGAAGAGAATAGAGGTGTTTTTTTTTGCTTCTGTCAGCTCAGAAGAAAAGCTTTGCCAATTAGCTTCTATTAGTTCAGAAGAGAAGCATTGGCAATTAGATCAGCAGGTTGCAACTCTAATTGAAGTATTCATACCAAGGCACCATATGCATCTACATATTTTCTTTACTTTATCTGATAAGTTTTATTTCTTCAATCAATTGAAATCATCATAGGAGTTTCATGCAAAACTTACAAAGATATAATGCTCACATAACGGTGTTTTGATATTTTATAGGAGTTTCACAGGTTTTTTTTGTTGCTGCGCACTATCGCTAATTCGCTATCAGCTATCAATTATCAATATTTCTTTCCTGAATTTGCAGTTCTCTCGATCATCTCCACCAGCTCGATTGCCTGATATTCTGCGGGGGAAAACCAAAACCCAGGTTAGTATTTTGGATTTTCCGTCATGATTGCGTTCCAGATTTATATCAATCTCGACAAACAAGTATCGGCCATATTTCTCTTGTTCGCTGCTAAAATCTCCAACCGCTCCTATCAACACGCCTTCAAGGACTGCCTGTGCTCTAGCTGGCGTCGATTTGCATTCACCTGATGCTGTTCCCTGTGTTAATTTCAGTGGTGTCTGCCGAACAGATACGCTTGTGCTATGGCCGGATTAGGCCCTGTAAGGAGAGTTCAAACGTAGGTGCAGAACCAGTTCAGGTTCTATAAATGCATCTCATTACATTCATGTTTTCTTCATGTCTTTTAATTTATTTATCCAGTCTCTTATCATGGTGCATTATATAACGATATCTGTAATACTTTTATAACATTTACATATTTAATATTCAAAATTTATTTTAAGAGCAATTCTGTGTCAAAACTTTGAAGTTAAGCTTAGGGAAGAGCGTTATCATCTTCATATGAATAATAGACTTATGATTTGACGAGATTATGGAATTTTTGCAGAGCATTATCATCTATTCCCTCACCAGATACCAGACCCCTCACAGTTTCCCATCTCAATATCTTACTCCACCTTTTGAGCAATTCCAAAATAATGCGCCCTGGAAAACAAGCCCATCAACACATCATTGTACACGGGCTTTCTGGAAATTCATTCATCGCCACCAAATTAATACAGATGTATGCTGACTGTGACGATATAAGTTCTGCACTCCACCTATTTGATCAATTGCCCGAACCGAATGTTTTTGCATGGACATCAATGATTTCCTTCTTTTCTCGCAACACATTGTCTTACGAATGTGTTATTACTTATGCCAAGATGAAACGGAGTGGTGTTTTGCCTGATAAGTTCATCTTCCCGAGAGTACTGAGAGCTTGTTCGTTGTGTTCTTGCTTGGAAATCGGGACTCAGGTTCACAAGGACATAATCGTTAATGGTTCTGGACGCGACATGCATGTTGGAAATTCTTTGATTGATATGTACTCAAAATGTGGGGACCTTCACAAAGGTAGGTTGGTTTTTGACCTGATGGTAGAGAAAGATTTATGCTCTTGGAATGCAATCATTTCGGGATATGTTTGCAATGATTTTCTTGCTAAGGCAGTGGAATTGTGGGGTTTAATGAGAATTGAGGGTTTTGAGCCCGACATATTCACATTCAACACTGTGATGGATGCTCATTGCCGAATGGGCCACTGTAATGAAGCTCGTGAAATATTTAAACAGATCAAGAACCCAACTGTTGTTTCGTGGACAACGCTGATATCAGGCTATTCAAGAATAGGAAAACATGACACCTCGCTTGAGATATTCAAGAACATGATGAGTGGGAAAGATATATATTATGCTGACTTAGATTGTCTTTCCAGTGTCCTTTCCTCATGCCAACGTTTGAAAGCTTTGAGAATAGGGCGGGAAATTCATGCGTACGGGATCAAGGGCGAACGGCTGTGTGATTTTTATCGATCGGCGGGACCTGCGCTCGTGCTGATGTACTCAAAGTGTGGGAAAACTGAATGTGCAATGCATGTGTTTGACTTAGTGGATAACAAATTGGATGATACGGTTGCATGGAACGCGATGATTCTAGGGTTTGCTGAACAAGGGGAACCACATTTGGCTGTGCAGAGTTTTAGAAAAATGCAAAAAATGAGAATCAGGAATGACCAAACAACAATCACAGCTATTTTGCGGGTCTGTGACTTAGCATATGGAAAACAGATACACACATACGTCTGTAGAAGAAGTTCCCATAATATCATTCCTGTTTGGAATGCATTAATGCACATGTATGCGAAATGTGGATGCATCAAAGCTGCACATAAATTGTTTTCCAATATGAGTAATAAAGACTTGGTTTCATGGAACACCATGATCAGAGGGTTTGGAATGCATGGTTTCGGTGAATCCTCTTTACAACTTCTGGAAGAGATGAAACTTTCTGGAATTCTTCCAAACTCTTTGACTATCACTTCTGCACTGTCAGCTTGCAGTCATTCGGGTCTTATTGACCAAGGGGTAAATATTTTCAAGAAAATGACACAAGAAGGCTATTATTGTGCACTTAGGATGGAACACTTCACTTGTGTGATTGATTTACTTACTCGAGCCGGTCGGGTTGAAGAAGCTGTTGAGCTCATTGTGAGAATGCGTGTGGGACCCGGGAAGCAGATTTGGGGTTCTCTTCTGTCTGCTGCTGTGGCACAACAAAATATTGATATAGCAGTGTTGGCTTCAAAGAAAATGTTGGGGTTGGAGCCTCAAAATGCAGGGCATTATGTGACTCTTTCAAATTTGTATGCAAGAGGTGGAAGACCAGAAGAAGCTCTTGGGTTGAGAAAACGGATGGAGAGCTTGGGATTGGTGAAGCAATTTGGCCGGAGTTGGGTTGAAGCTTGAAACTGATGGTTTATTTACTGGGATCCTGAAACCGTTGGGTCCGTTTGGAAACTGATGGTTTGGAATTTGGAAATAGTAAGGTAAGCAAAAAATATTATGAAGAGATAGTAGTTTATTACGTATTGTGAAAATTAAAAAGCTCAATAATTAGTTATTTTAAAATATGACATGGTGCAATTAAGTCAAGGAAAATTTTATGGCATTCATTCTGCGGAAGGTTTCGGTACCTCTACACGTGGCTTAATTATATTGGCAATTTAAAGATTCTATTTTTGAAAATTTGCCAAGTCATCTCGTCCCTTCGCCAAATTGCTCAGAAGCCCCCTCCAATTTCGCATACTCCCCTCATTTCATCATTTGCAAGGTATCGACATGACATCAACCTCCAGGACAAGCTAATCCCAGTTTGAAAGGGAGGGATAATGGAATGCGATTCAGTCTATTGATAATTTGATATCTTTTCAGATGCCATATATTCAGTCTATTGAATGAGGAAGACGATTATTCCCTTCTTTCATCATAAGTGGACGACCCTCTTCTCGTGTTACCGAATTTTTCTCTCTTCCTAGAGGCAATCGATCTACTTCAGGAATCATCATCAGAAATTCCTGCGCAAGAATCCATAAGATTTACACATTTCGTCTTCTTCCATGGACCGATGCACCCCAATTCTTCCATGATATCATCCCTCAAATGTGCAGTGCCTCGAAAAGATCCCCACCTGACCTGTAGTCCTGCTAACGTAAAGCAATGAAGTGAGCCCGGATAGCGGTAATGTTCATGCTGTTTATTTGTAAGTTTTTCTGTTTCTGTTTCAACCTCTTTGAAGTTTGACCATCTCTGATCAATTAACTTTATAAATTACTATTTTTTATCTGATTCATGGCTTTAATTTGTTAGCCGAAATTATATAAAGACTGTGAGTTGGTTTATTGGCCATTTAGTGGAATTAGATGTTAATCTTTGAGTTGTTAGACAAGATAATCACAAGAAACTGAATGGTTAAATTGGTCAGCTGTGAATAAGAAGTTGAACATGAGAAACTAGACTAGCCTGGACACCACACAACTTTATCGAGTACTCACCTTCTAAAAAAGCAAGGTTAAATTTTCTAGATATAGATATTAATACTTCAGTGCCATTATATATGGTGGTGAAAAAATAACTAAAGTTGAACAGTAATAATGATAAAAAAAAGTTGAACAGTAATAGCAAAATGAACTGTAAGAGGTCTAAAGTGTGCACCATCCTTTGTTGAATGCAGTCTAGTGGGTGTTTTAGAAGAAACATGGATTTCATGTAGAGGTCTAAGTGATGCATATCTTTCTCAGAAATGCCTGCAGTAATTCATTTTCTGCTATGTATTTATAACTATAAAGACCATGGTTGTAAATTAATTTTGATTTACTGAAACTGATTTAAGTGCACTACCATTATGGAGAAAACATATAAAGATTGGCTAAACATTATTTAGACACTTTATAATAGTGGGCAAGTTCACTGGCAGCTAAAATACTAGAAACATAAGTATTATCTTTTCCCAGACCAACCAAGCCATCAGGAGCATCACAATCCAGAAATGTACAAGTTCTAATTCCACATCTGAAAGGAATATAAAAGGGATAATTGCAATGAAACAGTAAAGTACAAAAATAATCCTACTTACAGTGTTTTTATTTATCTGGTTTAAAAATAATCCCTCCGTCCCGAAAACAAGTTCCCACTTTCCTTATTTGGATGTCCCAAAATAAACTTCCCACTTCCTTATTTGCCAAATTATCTACATCAAAACAGTGCAAAACAGTGTCAAACAGTGCAAAACAGTGCAAAACAGTGTCAAAACAGTAAAATTTACCCCTCGGTGAATTTATTTCCTAAAAATGTGTGAAAGTCAACCCGGGAACTTGTTTGTGGGACGGAGGGAGTATAATATTATGTGATGTTTTATTGGCGAGTACTCTCATCCATAGACCTTGGCGTGTTGTCTAGCTAGTAGCTACTTATAGGATTTTCCTAAAATTTATATGGAATTTATTTGGTGCCTTTTAAATTTGAAATGATTTCAGTGCCTTTCACGGGTGGCACAACATTCCCAATGAAACTTATTCTAAATCAACCATCTCTTCGTATAGATTTATAAAAATTGCTTATAAGCCCTTTTGTTTTAGTATATGTAAAACTCTAGGAAATAGACATTCACTTGCAAGCTTCCAACTAAACAAAGCGAGTCCATCCACAAGACTTGCTCGTAAGGAGCCTCAGCAAGAAGCAAGAAAATGGAGCCATCAAACTCAATACCAAAGGTTCATTTGAGAAACCAGTGAAATTCATACCTAGCCGCAAGAAAAGTCCTGCCCCAACCTGTAGGTCTGCTAACATAAAGACATGAGTTGAGCCTGAATGTTGGTACTCTTCTTATTCATTTAAAGTTTTTCTCTTTTGCTTCAATGAACTCTTTCAACTTCGGTAAACTGTTATTAGTAAACTAACAAAACTATGTTTTCATTATATTTGCGTCTTTAATTTTTCATCCCTAATTTAAGTTTGAAAGCCCTGTTGATTGTAGTGTAATATTACCACATAATGCCTTGATTTGTTCTCCAATTTTGTGTTTGACATAAACATTTGGATGTTAATATTACACTTTAAAAATCTTTTTTTTTAACATTTAAAGTATCTTTTCTTTTGTTTACACGCTAATACGGAGTAATACAAGATTTGCCCGGTTTTCCAAAGGCTGCAAATTTCTGTTCAGTCTAGTCTCTTTGTGTTTTATTCTCTTTCTTGCATTCCTGGGTACCAAATAATAAATCTGAGATGGGCAGGTCTGGCTCGGCTGTTTCTGCGACTCTGTCTGGGTCTGTCACTTCTTTTGAGGTTCTTACCTATTAGTTTAAATCAGAATGGTGATTCAAACTATGCCCGCCTGATTGTTTTTTCTTTTTATGTTGGTCCCTTGTTTAGATGTATTGAGCCAAAATATCTTACTGCAGGATGAAAGGAGAATTCTTTGTAATGTTTTTATCCTTGTTGTCAATTGGGTTTGAGGCTTAGTTCTTCGCCACCATTTATTGGAATAATTTGATTGAACATGTGACCAGTTGGGGGAGTTGAAAAGGTAACGTTGTCTACAATGTTGAACTCTTAAATCCCATGAACTTTTTTATTCTGTATTTTTAAATAAATGTAGTTAATGTTGTTTATTTTAATAATGGTGCAGGTGACATCTGTGGAAAAAACAAGTAAATGGAAAACAAAGATATATTTGGCATGTGGATGTCAATAAACAAAAAATATTCTTTCTTTACGAAAAAAATTCGATTGTTTCGGAAATAAAAACATATTGGAATTCCAAATTCCATTTACTCCTATTTTGGGAAATCTCCCTTTTATTATTGTTGCCATATTGTTGCTTTGGAAAACTATCAAATAGGTCCTCGTACTATAACACAAAAGTCAATTAAGGGCCTGTTTGGTGACAGCTGCATTGGCTGGAATGGATGAAAAGCCTGAAAAGATTAAAGTGAAAGTGTTTGGTAATATATTGGCTGGAATGGCTGATTGTGTGTAAAATTACTATAAAAGGTATTAGCTTATTTGTGTTAAATATATGGGTGTGAATTTTACACTCAGAATTTATAACCAATACAGAGTATGAAACAACGATTTTATGGCAACACTTTATAACCAATATGTAAGTAGATTCCCAAACAGCGGTTCATAAAAATCGTTCTTATTCACGAAAAATATAACCAAATAGCAGTTTAGGCGTAAAATAAAGGAGCAAAAGAGTATTTTCGCAGCTCAACAGTAATAGGAAGATTTCGCAGCTCAAAAAGTAACATGGGCATTGCTTTTTCGGCTGATAAGATAATTCAGCCCAAGTAGCCCAAAAGCATTGTGTTTGGTTGTATTTTCTTATTTTCAGGCTTATAAGCCTATTTTTGGGTCACCAAACACCCTCTAAGTCCTTGTACAATAAAACCACTCAATTAGGCCCCAAAACTACTAAAAAACATCCAATTCTTCCAATCAGCAGGTCATTTACCGGTTGTCCCGGTAGTGGCTGAGGTGGGCTTTATTTTGTTGCTTTATTGGTAAGACTGGTAGCGAGGGAGTGTCACAAGGGTTAGGTCTCAAGTTCGAATCCCGGCAACTGCGATGAGAGGTTACTATGTTAAAAATGTATAGAGTCTCTGCAAGTACAAGGGACGAAGTCCCACTCTCTATCTGTCAGATTGTGATTATAGTCCAATTTACATCCTCTCATCGTGCCGTTCGGTCGGTGTTGGGGGACCCTCAGGGATGGGGTGTCATCCTATTTTTCAATAAAAGCTTTGAAACACTGTAGACAATCCTCTCACACAGTGAGGATATTATTTTAAATGTTATGAAATCGAGTAACTGCACAGGTGGATGCTAGTCGGAGATGGAACTTGATTCTGGCGGTGACAAATTGAAGCGCAGGTTTGAGACTACTACGAAGTCACCGGAAAATGGGGTTTGTTGCCGCGAATTTACCGGAGAATGTGGACTATCTACTTCCGGAGATCATTTAAAATCTTCTTTGGATCCCAAGTACGCCTGGAGTTCATCTATGTGATAACCAACCGCCGCTGCCGGGTGGGGTGGAGGAAGTAAGAAGGGAGAGAGAAAGAATAAGAAAAAAGAAAAGGGCGGTAGGAGGTTTGGGGAGAAAAAGATAGGAGAGTGGGTTGGGGCCTGGGGGCTTGGGGGTTGCACAGAAGAAGAAACACGACTACACGAGGGAGGAAAAATGAATAAACAAAGAAAAGAAAAATGTTAAATCAGCCTCGTGGATTCCACATGTGTAAATTAAGTTGCTAATCGTTTATTTACCGGAGAAAAAACCCGATTGAGAGTTTTTTTATAGTTCAAGGACTTGATTGAATTAGATTGAATCAACTAATAGTAGAGAACCTATTTGACTTTTTGGTAATAGTATAAGGACCTATTTGACATTTTTTCTTTGTTGCTTGTATTGCTATGTAACTAGATGCCGTATAAGCTGAGGTAGAAGCCACACACCACATCCATAACACCATTGATTGGTACTTGGTAGTGAAGGCTGTTGTACTCTAATGAAAAGTGAAAATGACAGTGGAATACTGGAATGAACACAACTCTATTGAAAAGTGTTCTGGTGTTTGGCTATAGCTAATAAGATGCAAAACAAGGTTAACTTTTTTTTGTAAATTGAAGTTTTACCGATACAAATATTTCAATAATAAGGGTAGGAACAAATATCTAAAATTGATATATTGAGTTGGAAGCAACTTCTTACTTCCCAACATTTTCTTTTCTTCCAATTATTTTTCTCCCTATTTTCTTTCTGTAGCATTTACCAAGTTCCAAATGGACCCTTAATTGTATGGTACAAGACTGGTGCATTATGATCCTGGATATTAAATTTCTGTGAAAACTAAATATATATGTTAGTTAACTAGAAAATGCAAATATCAATAGAAAACTGTCCTAGAGTTTCTTAGTTTCCTAAAACATATATCGAGCAGAAACCATCTGATAATCACCATCTGTAGCCAAAAACAATGTCTCACAGAGACAGATTTGGGATAATTCCTAAATGCACATCTTTTTTTAACAGATGAACTGATACACATATGATGTAGAGTTGAAGCAAAATACTAATTAATGAACAGTGTGCAAGCCATTCCATCCTTCCTTGTCCCCTTGCAATTCCATTAATGCTACTTGCTGGAATGGGCTCAAACAAAAGCTTTGAGCTATTGAAAGTTAGCCATTAATGAATGATATTGGTCTAACAATTGTACTGAATTATCCTTATGAACACTGCAATTGAAAAGTGCAAACACTTCCCCAAGCTTCTCATTCGTACGTCTCTTATAAGCATCACCAAACAAAAAAACTGAGTCTTTTCATCCAAGCACCCCATTTTCCATATTGCATATAGCTTTCCGGAAGAGCTAGTCCTTGGTTGTCTAATCTCAGTTAAGATTCTAATTGTTGCCCAACACCCCAAATGTGTATCTCCAGAAAGCAAATTCCTATATTTGATCATGAAACTCACGGTCTACAATGCAATTAAACAAGGACTATTTAAAAAAAATCTCAAGTGTAACTGAACAAATCAGATATCAGACAAATGGTTGCTAAGCTCCACGGGAGAGACTAATTGGTTCCTAAGATATCCACATTAGAATTTAGAACACTAGACCTCAACTGCCTACTTAAAAAATACAGCTTTTAGCACCAAAACTATTTCAATCACGTCAGTAACTTACCGATCCGCAAACCGGAACACCTTGCCACCTCTGGATCGTTGGAGGACTTGGAAATTTTGGATATAGATTTGAGTTCTTTCTTAGCAATCTCAGAATCATAATCTTCATTCGAAAGATAACCTGAAAATGGGACCGCTGGTGCCAATGCAAATCAACGAGCACATTTCATGAAAAAGAATATATTTTAACAAGAGAAAAAAAATCCAAGGATGGAAAACTGACCAGTAGGGTGAGATGATGGAGACGCAGAAGGTGTTTGCAAAACCCTATCTTGATACGACATTGTTTCTCTTTGATATGAATAAGCAATGAATGGACAGGGGTGAACACAATCCAAAAGGTCAAAGAGGGGATGCAGAATAGGCTTTATAGCAGCCAGATCAGAACAGGTTGACGACTTAGCTCTATGACCTATACAGGACTTTCTCTGATCGAATACTAAATAAATTTGAAAAAGTAAGTCATGAAAAATTATATTTTTTCTTTAATAGAAAAAGTGAAAAAATGTTTTAAACACACTACTTTTACAGTTTATAACTTTAAATTTCACTTGATTTAAATTAAAGAATGTATTTAACAACACTTTTTTAGCAACAACTAAACATCAGTTTTAAAAGTTGTTGCAAACACTTCTGTAGTACTAATTTCTATGGTTATATACTTATATTTAAAGAATTAAAGGTTTGGAGAATTTCTATATAGTAACCTCCAACTTTGAGAGAAAATAAAGGAGTTTTTTACAAACAAAACTTACTAAAACAAAACTTACTACAATGTAGTGTCATGGTAACTTAACTGGGGAAGTTCACTATCAATTTAAACTAATTGTCTGAGAAGCTCATGTAGCTCCTTAGGAAGCTAATGTTAAAACTTTCATAGTCAAGTTAACTTGTAAAATGCATAAAATCAGCACTTGAGCCCATTGAATAAACAAGGTTTCACCTCAGCTATTCAAAATGACATATATGTTCATAATAGGACTCAATCTAGTATTCCACTTGCACAATTACAAGGCAGTATATTGTCAGCTTTAAACCCTAGTGTTCTACTAGTAAGTTGCAAAGAACGCAATATGTTTTCAGCTTATAAATTCATAGTACAAGTCGTATAAAAAAAATAAACATTGGAATTTGGAAACAATTACCATAGGCATATATTCCTCTAAGGAGGCTTTCTTGCAAGACTATGGAGTCAAAGATATCATACACCTCATTATAGGACGTGAAAAATGACAAAATATCACATCAATAGATATCCTATAGAGGCAATACGCTGGACCAGACTACGGGTCCAACTCTAATATTTTAAATGGTACTGGAGTATATGTGAAATACAAAATACTTTTTCCGGGGGGTCAAGAACCGTGTCTTCACCCGTCTATTTATGCAGGTAAAGAAGATTGAAAATGTTTAATCAAACGTACAATTCTATTTGATATCATACTGATGAGCATCAAATGCAGAACCCTCTGGAGCCAATCAAGCATGACTGCAAGAAAGATAGATATGTGAGATAATAAGGTAAACTCTGATACTTAATTCACTTCACAGGTTGAGGAGAGGCATTCGAGATTTCTCAAAAATCATAGAGGGTACAAACAAGAGAGATCTAACTCATGGTAAGGATCATTCATCTTAACACACTCAACTTACTGAAAACTGAAAACTAGTGTTCCAGATTAGGTCATTGATACATCGATTGATGGAAAAGATTAACAATTTTAAGTAGAGTACAAGAGCCTTCACTACCAATCAATGCTGTTATGGATGCATCATGCATGTATAAAGTCTAAGGGTGTGTGGCTTCTGTCTCAGCTTATATAGCATCTAGTTACATAACCATCTAGAGCCCATCTGGTAACCCTGTTTTTCGGGTTATTAGACTTATCAGCCAACTTTTTCACCAAACATGTAACTTTTGATTTCGCTCGCTGAATTGTGTAATAATTAGAAAAAGTAAGGTTGTAGTTACTTTTCTGGCTGTATTGGCTTACGTTACTGTAGAGGGTGATTTTAGCTATTTTTTCATACATTTTTCTCTAAATTTTATTAATAAATAATATTTTAAATATAATTCTGTCATAAATCAGCAAAATCGGCCAATCCAGCCACTTCAGCCTCCTAGTATCATAAACTTTTTAGAGACAAATATTTAGATGATCCCATCTTTATGATGTCTATAAATACCATACAAGGAAAAAACTTGATATTCGTGAACTTGACCTTCACATGAGATACATCAAAAGCATCATGTGAGTAGACAGGATATATCCTGTAGAATCTCATATTTCCAAATGCAGCATTTATTTACTCGCTCATTTAACATTGCTTTCTTCAGGCTCCCCTTGCTTATCATACAAAATTGAAGTGGTGAAATGAAACAAAATAGACAAGATGTTTCTCATGAAAATTCTAATGTTTGCAAGATATTTAACCAAATACCTCTTGGTTCATATTTTTGGCTTCACGGACCCTTTCCTTAACAAAGTCCTGATACAAAACGAAGCATAAGAGACATAACTTAAGAACGAGGTCCAAGTTAACAAGAAATACATAGTGCCATGTTAGTATGAAAAACTCTTTTAAATTTCCAGATACATTTTGTCTATTTTTCGTCCTCCAAATGAAAAGCATTACACCCAAAAAAGGAGTGAAAAAACATTACTTGCCACAGTTTCCCGGTTTGAAATGCTGTTTCAACTTCAACACGTACTTTCCCGTTTTTCCATTTCCAGTTAAAAAGAGAAAAACTCCCATTTATTTAATGAAAAAGCCGGTAAAGTTATGGCAGTATATCATGCTAACTGCAATGAAATGTTACCTTGAAGGTATTTGAACTGCAGAAACTCCTCCTCTTCAATAAGTTATCTGTCCAATCTTGAACAAATTTTCTATCAAGAAGTTTCTCATATCTTACAGCATTTGGTGCAGGCAAACGAAATCATGTCCCAGTCTTGAGCTGACAGATGAAGGTTTACCAACAACCCTTACCAATAATCCCTACAAGAGCAAAACCCATCTTTGAAATGGTGAAAACGAGTGGCATCTCTAACAATAATTTCTCTGCCAACAAGCTTGGAGATGTATTTAATGGCAGAGTGACAGTCATTACAAACTCTAAGGTTTTTCATGATCCTTAAAGTAGTGTTGTCAGGGGTATTTAGCAGACCAAATGCAATAGCAAGCTTTTCACTGTGATGTCGAAGGAGTTGCTCTTTCAACTCATTATCAAGATCATGCAGCACAGACTCAGTGTCTGGAACAAAACCCAGTTTTTTAATCTCTTTCCATATTTTCTCCATCGTCTGATATATAGCATCCCTTTGGGGATGGAGCCCATCTTCAACTCCGAAAACATGGACTCCATTCTTTATCTGAACCCAGCTAATTCCTTGTTCTTTCTTCACCTGTCTGTCCTTCATCAATTTTCTGATTTTAGCAGCTTCCTCCCACTTCCTGCAAGCAGCATATACATTAGCAAGTGCCGAGTAGGCCCCACTGTTTTCAGGATCAATTTTAAGCAATCTCTCTGCTGCAAGTTTTCCCAGCTCAACATTCTTGTGAACCTTACATGACGCTAAAAGTGAACCCCAAGCTATGGCATCTGGTTCAAGAGGCATCTTCTCTATGAAATCTTGTGCCTCTTGTAGTAGTCCAGCACGGCTGAAGAGGTCGATCATGCAGGCATAGTGGCTTGGAGTGGGTTCAATACTATGGACAACACTCATCATCTTGAAGTATTGACGGCCTTTTGCCACTAAGCCAACATGTATACAGGCAGAGAGAACACCCACATAAGTAATATGGTCGGGCCTGATGCCCATGACCAGCATATCCTCGAATAACTGTATGGATTCCTCTCCAAATCCATGTTGAGCGAATGCTAAGATCATCGAAGTCCAAGATACTGTTTCTCTTTTTTCAAGTAGTATCAAATTAAACACACTACGAGCACAACTTAAGCTTCCACCCTTTGCATACATGGTGATCAAAGCATTACTCACAGAAATTGATGATGCTTCCCCTGATTTTAGGGCGGCAACGTGGATTTGTTTGCCATGATTCAAAGATGCTAAATTTGAGCAAACACTAAGCACAGCTGCTAGTGTATAGCTATTGGGTTCTGGACCTGTTTGAGACATTAATCTAAAGAGATCCAATGCATCATTGTAGAAGCCGTTCTGCACATAGCCGACAATCATAGCGGTCCATGAAATCACATCCCGGTTCTTTAGAGAGTCAAAGATCTTCCTTGCTGGATCTATATCACCAAGCTTAATGTAACCATCCAATAGGGCTGTAAAAGCAATAACATTTAAATCTGATATTTTACTTTGCTCCAAAATGGTTTGGGCGGTGCTTACTGCTCCACATCGGGAGTACATGGATACCAGAGCATTCCCAACCGCCCCAGAAGTGTCAAACGCGGTTCTAAGAATGTGAGTATGAATTTGTTTCCCTATGTGGATCACTTCAAGATTAGTGCAAGCTGATAACACACTTGCTAAAGTATATTTATCAGGCTTCAATGAGGATTGCCTAAGCATTCTATAAAACATACTCAATGCTGCAACATCAAATCCATGTTGATTATAACCTGCAATGATTGAATTCCAGGAAACAATGTCCCTGTCATTCATTTGCTCAAAGAGTGCCAGTGCAAGATCTACCTGGGCCGTATGTGTGTACAATGAAATCATTGTGTTCAGGCTAGATATGTTCTTTACAGCTATCCTATCAAAAATAATTTTAGCTGTACTAAGATCACCTGCTTTGGCATACATATTCAACAACGAATTATCTACAGAAACATGCCTACTTAGACCGAATTTCACAACAAAAGAATGCACTTTCCTGCCTAAATCCAATGATCTAATTGCAGCACAAGAAGCAAGAATGCTTGTAGCTGTATACTGTGTAGGCGAAGCATAGCAGAAAATCATCTCCATAAACATCTTAATTGCAACTTTGAACTGACCAATAAAATTATACCCAACAATCATAGTTGTCCAAGTGACATCATCAGGACAAGGCACCTCTCTAAATAGGAGTTGTGCTTCATGGATCAAGCCATTTTTTACATAAGCAGAAAGCAATGTATTCCAGGAAGATGCGTCCCTTGTAGGCAACTCATCAAACAGCCTACAAGCATCAGAAACAATCCCATTTTTCCCATATGCATTGATGAGATTATTCATGAGAAACTGGCCTAAATGTAGGCCGCATTTGATTATACGGGCATGGACCAATCTGGTGGAGAACGGGTCCTTGATTTTAAGGCTCTTCTGGAGGAGCAAAGCATAGAAATCCGAGGGACAGATGTGATTATGCAAGTTTTGGTCTCTCATCAATGTATCACATGAGTGGACAAATCACTACGTGAAAGAAGAATGAATAAGGCGAAAATAACGGAAAAGGAGACCAATAAGGTCAAATTAATCAAAAATCTGAATCAAGAAAGATTTGAAGTTACCTGGTCATTTGAAAAAATGGTTTTTTCCTCCTTCGATTGATGAGTTTCGAAGATGAATTTCTTCCAAGTTATCAAAGGCGTGATGAAAGCATTGACGTTGAAGAAGCCTTTGTCAATGGAAGCAAATAAGATCGTGTAGGTGGGCAATTCTCTCCACTGCTTCCTTGAATGCTTCATAAAGCATCTGGCAGAGTAGTCTATCTGTCTATGACTCTGCTGCAATGCCTGTGGACATTGAAATAATTGAAAATGTATGATTGAGGCATATTATGGAAGGCTGAGATTGAATATGTAAAATGGGCAGGAGGACGAAATAAGATTTGTACTGCTTTTATGTATAAGAAGATTTACGTGTCTGACAATGCCAAACTAGCTACAGTCGCACAAAAAACCCATTTTCAAGAAGCATTGTTGGGATTTTTTATAAGAAAGCCTTCTAAACAGCTTCTTATTGTACAAATTGTGCACTTAAGCAACTAAAAGCTCTTTACCTCCACATTAATATCTAGTGAAAAGTTGGTACAACTACTATAAAGAGCTAACATCAATCAACTAATATAAAGCACTAACTGCTCATACAAAACAACCCATTGCCAAACATGGCGAAGAAAGGATAAACTTAATATGTGCCGTTCAGCAATAGCACGAACAAGATCTGGTTTTACATGTGTATCCACGAATTCCTTGTATTGATGTACTTTCTCTTGGTTAACTGAATCCATTTCAGTCCTCACACTAATTAAATGAATACAGGGAATCAAATAAACCAATTAGCAAAAGAAGTCTGCACAGGGTACAGCTTCATGATTGTTAAATTGCCACCACCATGTACCAAGTTATACAGAAGGAGGCATTATCAGCGGTGGCGGAACCAGTTCGGGTATCTTGTAGGGACACATTAGCACATAAATCATACTAATGTGTCAAATGATGGAGAATAATTGCGAGGTGGCAATCTTTGTCTTCGAGATGCATTACTCCAAAATCGCCTCATAATGACTTCATTCTCAATTTTAACAAAACATTTTTCTCAATGTAACACCATGCAATTCAACTTCTATTCAAGGCTTTTTAACATTATTTTCAGTGATAGGAATAGCATTATCTGACGAAGAAATAAATTATTAGATAACTAACACCCCCAATGTTCCGCCCTTTAATACCTTTAGGAATAAGTGTATAAAATCGTTTTATAGAAATTCTTTGTGAAACAATCTAAAAGGCTAAAAAGACTACAATTTATGTAATATGAGTATAATTGTAAAAATAGCATTATAAGAAACTACTTCCTCCGTCCCACTAACAATGGGACAAGAGGGAGTGGCACGCAAGCCAATAAAAAGTGGTTTATGTGGTTGATATTGAATTGATAAAGTAAGAATAAAGTAAGAATGATTTAGAGCCACACAAACTTTACTAAATTTGCTATGAGACAATCTTAGTGGGATGGACTGAAAAGGTAAAATGGGACAATCTTAGCGGGACGGAGGGAGTAAATCGTAATATTGTAAAAATATCATTATAAGAACGCACCTCCTCCGCGCACCCCATTAATTACTAGGCGCACCCATTTTATTCTTAGTTGGACTGTTTTGTCCAAGGTTGTAGCGTCACTCCCAAGTAATGACTAATATGTTGGGTTGGTGGGTAATTTTTTGTTAAAATGTTTTAGTTAACTAATACAAATTAAAAGGTTTTAGTTAAGGAGATACTTTTTACCAGTATAATTGTTACAAGTCTGCTCCTTTGATACTCGTACTACTTACTGCGTAATTTTTTTTATTTTTGTTAAATGTCATTCCCATGGAAACAATTATACTGGTAAAAGATATCTCCTTAATTAAAACCTTTTAATTTGTATAAGTTAACTTAATTATGTTTAGAATACAATTGACCTCATTTGAAAAGTTAATCATCCTATGTGTTACTATCCTGGTTCTTAAATAATTGTGACATGTTCAGTTTTACACTATTCAAACACTTTTTTTTATCGTCTTTTATTTATTATTTTATTATAAATTTAATTTGTATAAATACTGTTAAACTTCTTTCATTATAAATCTTAAAAAATATAATTTTTAAAATTTTTTACTAATAGGAAATAAAATATTTACTTCGTTCTTCAATACTAATAATTGCAACTTTGAGATTTTTACATTATTCACACCTTGTTGTGACCATGATTTTCTACTACTATATATAACCAAATTATTATGCATAAAATATTATTAAATTTGTATTAATGTGAATTTTCCAAATATTAACTTTTTAATTATAGGATGTAGCAATTTTATTTTATGGGCACACATATGAAAGACATTATGATGTATTAATTGGAATGATTTCAAACCAAAACCAGATCATATTAAAAAGGTCAGACTGCTTAAATTAAATTAAATAAGACTAAACAAGATTAGACTTAAATAATAAGAAAATTAACATCCACCGACAGTTTATCATATCCAATTTAAATGTACCAAACTAAAGTATTTTTTTCAAAATATTATGCATGTAATATTGGTCTTATATGAAAGTCCTTATAAAATTATTGTAATCTGATATAGATTTTGTAATGATGGGAACATAAATGAAAAAATTACGACATTTTATAAAAAATATAATCAATTGTTTGATATATGGCCCCAATCTATTCGTAGTAGAGCCAATTCTAAAAGTGATTAAAATTTGATAAAAAAAGTATGGGTGCCTGGCGTGTGCAGCTTGAGCAACTTTAATTTTAATTTTAAATTAAGAATTGAAGGGGTAAAATGGTATTGGCAAGGTTACATTTAAGTAATAAAGTGGGTGCTCCAAGTAGGGCTGAGCACAGGTCCAAGACCGGACCGGACCGGACCGGAACCGGTTGGACCGGAACCGGAATTCTAAAAAAATGTGGACCGAAGACCGAACCTATATAATTCCGGTCTAGGACCGAACCGGACCGGATTATTCCGGGTTTTCCGGTCCGGGCCGGTATTGGACCGGATTTTTTATTTTACTATTTTTACAATGTTTCATCTTTTCAAAATTTGTTTTTGAGTGTCCAAAAAGTTACTTATTAGCTCATTTTTCTATTACGGAGTATTATTTATGATGTTTTATACGTGATTATATCCAATTTATACTTTTTTATTTAATGTATTCTTTTGTATGTATGACTCAAGGGTGTTTGGATCTGATTCTCAAAACTGATTCTGCTCCTTCAAGGAGCGGAAGCAGAAGCTGAAGTGTTTGGGTGAAATTCCAGAAACACGTCTGGTGCTCTAATTTACTCCCAGAATCAGTTTTTTTAGAAGCTGGGGGGTACCAGCTTCTAAAAACTGATTCTGAATCTGCTTCTGCTTTAAAAAAGAAACAGAAGCAGAATCAGTTCTAAACACCCCCTTACAATTTCATGTCTCTTTTAATCAATATAATATACATTATAATACATGAAATACGTAGAAATAAACACATCAACTATGCCTAGAGGAAATATGAAAACTATGTGATTCAATTTTGACTCTATAAAATTTTATGAATGATCATATTAGTACGGGAAACTAATGTTCTAGCTCGATTAATTTAATGAATAATTTGACTTAATAGCTTTGCATATTTAACAAAGAAGAATTCAATTAATCATCACACTATGTATTACGTATGGTTAAAACTAGTAAGAATAAGTAAATATAATGCACCTTTGTATTTCAACTCTTAATGTTTTTATGTAAATAATACTAAATATGGAGTATGTAACTTATATTAATGTCTAAGGTTTTGTATCACTTAATTAATGATTGGTCCTCGAAATTGCATAAAAAGGGGTCAAATGAGTCCTTATATAGGAGGCTCTGTCCAGCCGTCGCCATTTGGGGCGGTTCCCGGTGGAATTTTTTGATGAATTTTTTTGAGCATCTTATTCATTAAGTTTTGTTTACTCATACCAAATTTCAGCTAAAACTTCAATCGAGAAGGCATTCAAATGAATTCTTGATGATCTATCAGTTTTTTTTTGTTCAAACTTGCTATTGCAGTTATCTTCGAGAATTCATTTGAATGCCTTCCCGATTGAAGTTTTAGCTGAAATTTGGTATGAGTAAACTATACTTAATGAATAAGATGCTCAAAAAATTTCATCAAAATTTTCCACTGGGAACAGCCCCAAATGACGACGGCCGGACATTAAGGACTTATTTGACCCTTTTTATGCAATTTCGAGGACCATTTTGACCCTTTACTCCTTAATTAATGCACTTCTTTTAAGTAAACTAATTAATGTACTATGCAAGGAGTATGCGTTTGTGTGTATACAAATTTATACATATAAATAAATAAATATATATATTTAATAATTAAATTCCGGTATAAGCGGTCCGGATCGGAATATTCCAGATTTTGGACCGGACAGTACCGGACCGGAACCGGTAAAACCCTTGGACCGAAGACCGGACCAGTATCTATCCGGTCCGGGTCCGATCTGGACCCACCAGTCCGGTTCGGTCCGGTTTTCCGGTCCGTACCGGATTATGCTCAGCCCTAGCTCCAAGTAACTCCCTTGTAAGAAACTAAATCATAATATTGTAAAAATAGCAGTATAAGAAACTACTGCGTACATCACAATTACAATACAATTTAACATTTTATTAAATTAGAATAGAATTGCACAAAAAATTAACAATTTATAAGATTGGATTAAGAATGAAACAACTCCAAAAATACAAAATAAATTTAAAATCTTACCCAAAATGGGAAACGGAGAGTCTCAGGCCTCCGGCAAGGCGGGAGGCGGCTGGATTGCTGAACGGTGATCGACGGATTGGCGGAACTCGGAAGAAGGGTGGGTTGCTGGACGCGTCAGCGTCGAACTCGTGCTTGCTGAGTTGCTTTTGCCTGTTGCTGCGCAGAGGCCAGGAGGGTACAGGGACGCAGGGTGCTTGTGTCTGGGCACTTCACATGGGCTGGGTAGATCCTTAGATGGGCCGACAGGGGCAAAGTCTGGGTTGTTGGGTCACCTGGTGGGCTCACTCGTTTGGGCTCCAGAGGCTAAGCACATTTTTTTCACTATGTCCGTCCCGCTAAGATTGTCATATTTTTCTTTTTTGTCCGTCCAACTAAAATTGTTTTACTACAAATTTGATAAAATTTACGTGATTCAAAATTATTCTTATTTTATTCTTTATTAATTTAATATCAATCGCATAAATTCATTTTTCTTAACAGTCGTGTCATCTTCTCATGTCTCAA